ATCGGTTTGGGTCGTGACAAGATTATTTTGGAATTATAAGTACTATGCTATTTCAAAAAAGTAATAAGTAAATCCGTGAAGGTGAGAGGGTAAGTGAATCGAAGCAAATGAGTCTCGTCGAAGTTTGGCAATTCGGAATAAAGTACGGTCCAAGCTATAATACCCCGTATTTATGGACTAATGCCATACAAGGAACCACATGACCAAGATAGCAAGATTTATAAAGTGTGTTAAAAGTGTGTAGTATTATAAGTAATTTGAGATAATTCTCAATTATGTGGTTAATTGATTAATGGTGGGGATAATTATGGTATTAGATTGAATTAAGTGGATAAAGATTTCTTTTGTTTGGGCTGCCACATGGCACTAAACTAGGCCAAGGTGGCACAAAAGTTCATGATGAGTCATGACACTTGAGTACCTTGATTACACGTAAAGGTCTTTTTGGATAATTACATTTGCTTGGTCTCTTTATTTGGTAATGTAAGAGAAGTTATTTGCTCGGTCTCTTCATTTAGAAAATAAGAAAGTTATGCATACTTAGAATTGGACCAGTAACGTATGCTAAGCTTGCTAAAGATGGAGCCTCAAAATATTTCGATTGAACTTCATAATGCGATAAAGCGTGAGATTTGCGATTCAAAGGGAGTACAGTGCAATCTTTCTGAAGAATATCATACGGATTTTTCCCTACTTCGATCAGCCGTTACATGTTTTATCGCAATTGACGTACGTTAGAGGGATTACCAAGAGAATCAGCTTAGGTATATTAAGACTATCCCTTCTTTCTTTTGGCACGATCTATACGACACAAACGAAACGAGCAAATGCGCAATTTCCATGAATGACTTTATTCATAAAAATACTATAGATACTTATGTTCTTGATTCCCCATGTGTCATATTATCCTATCATCTGTTCATGGGTCTTAGAAAATACGTAAGTTGATAAATTTTATTTCATGATATTAATCAAAGGCATAATGGTCTTATGACACTTCGAAAGATTTTATTGACGTACTTCTCATTGACCCATGACCAGATGGCGTTATATACGTGTATTTATGTATATCTATATATTTATGGGGTATGGAAAAAGGTTATGGCGTTATATATGCACCACCACCTGATCAGTTGGTATACGTTGATGATTTGCCCACAGTGGCCGAGGTGATATGATGGGATGCCCTCAGAGGCTTGATGATGTTATGAACGCATGTACCTATGCATGATATGACATTTTATATGCATGTGCATGACATTATAAGTATTAAATGATTCACAGTGCTATTCAGACTTACATTTCGAGTCTTTTACTCCATGTTTCTCTCATGTCTATATTTACATTTTCATTCCTTACATACTCAGTACATTATTTGTACTAACGTCCCTTTACCTGGGGATGCTTTATTTTTTGCCCGCAAGTCCCGATAGACAGGTTGAGATTCCTCCAAGTAGGCTATCAGCTAAGCGGAAGATGTTGGTGCGCTCCATTTGCTCCGGAGTTGCTTATTTGGTTAGTATGATTTAGACATGTATTGATTGGTATTTCGGGGCCCTGTCCCGGCCATATGACGTTTATGTACTCTTAGAAGCTTGTAGACATATGTCATGTATATGAAAGATTGTACGGCCTTGTCGGTCTTTGTTCAGTGTACGAGTGGTTATTTTGGCCTTATAGGCCCGTACGTCATATGTATAAGTCAGTATATCAGGTTGGGTTATTTTATGTCAAGTGTTATCTCATGTTTAATTCTTGTTACTTCATACGACCCTTCTGGCACCCATGTTGATGTAACGAGAAATATACGCTACGATGGTACTCGGTTGAGAAAGGGCACCGGGTGCCCGTCGCGGCCTATCGGTTTGGGTCGTGACACGGTCGATCACTTACGATAGTATGACGAACTCGAAGAAAGTATCATCTTCGATAAGTCAGATACCCACAGTTTAGTTTTCCCTCATTATGACGCCCTTGTTATCACTTTACGAATATTAGATACAGATGTGAGGCGCATTATGATGGATGATGGTAGCAACGCGTGCATTATCCACCCCCGAGTACTTGCACAGAAGAAACTCGAGGATAAGATAGTGTTGCGTTGCATCACGCTAACAGGTTTTAACAATACAGTTGAATGAACATCTGGAGAAATCACACTCCCCGTCCTGGCCGGCGACGTCACTCTTTAAACCACATTCCACATTATGGACCAGGACACGGTGTACAACGCCATAATAGGCCGACCCTGGATACACGCCATGATAGCCATCCCCTCCAGCTTGTACCAAGATATCAAATTTCCAACCCCATGGGGAATATTTAGCATACTAGGAGAACAACACACATCTCGAGAATATTACCGCATCGCCCTGGATTGTACAACCACCGAACAAATGAAGGGCAAAGCAAAAGAGGCATAGCAACTAATAGGGGCCGAGATCGAGCCGCGATGAAAGAGAAGATGTTATCAGAGATCCCGAAATAGTAGAAGCTGCAAAATCGACTGTAGAAGACCTCGAACCCATTCCAACTCGATGACAACGACCACAGTAAGAAAGCCTACATCGGCTGTAAGTTTCAAGAACCAGGTAAATTCCATCAATTCTTAACTACTAACGCGGACTTGTTTGCTCTTAGCCATGCAGATATGCCAGGTATCCCGAAGGAGATCGCCACACACAAGTTGAACGTCGACCTTTTCCACCCCCGGGTGAGGCAGGTTAGGCGGAAGTTCAATTCCTCGATAAACGATGCAGTACGCGAGGAGGTCGAAAAATTGCTGAAGAATGGCTCTATTAGGGAGTTAAAATACCCCTGGTAGGTCGCCAATGTGGTCATGATGAAAAAGAAAAACGGGAAGTGGTGAATGTACGTAGACTTTACGGATCTAAATAAAGCATGTCCCAAAGATTCATCCCCGTTACCTCATATCGACCAGCTCATTGATCCAACGACCGGGCATGAGTTGCTAAGCTTCTTAGATTCCTACTCAGGCTACAACCAGATCCTCATGGACGAGGAGGATCAGGAGAAAACCACTCTCATCACCCATCAAGGAACGTACTGCTACAGAGTTATGCCTTTCAGAAAACGCAGGGGCGACTTACCAATGGTTGGTGACCAAAATGCTGAATGATCAACTCGGCAAGACTATGGAAGTCTACATAGACGACATGTTGGTCAAGTCCAAAAGGAGAGAATATCACATCGGCCACTTGAAAGAAGCCTTCGATATACTCAGGCGACACAAAATGAAATTAAACCCCGAAAAATATGCATTTGGTGTGACCTCGGGAAAATTCTTGGTTTCCTAGTATCATAGAGAGGCATCAAGGTCAACCCCGACCAAATCAAAGCCATAGAAGGAATACTAGAGCACTTGACCACCAAAAAGCAGGTTCAAAGGCTGACTGGCCGTGTCACCGCCTTGTCAAGATTCATCTCGCGATCATCCGACAGATGCCACAGGTTCTTTGGCGTACTCAAAAAGGACAACGGCCTCCAGTGGACCTCTGAGTGCACCCAAGCCTTGAAGGAGTTAAAAGGCCTACTTGTCATCAACGTCGTTGCTCTCTAAACTAGAACCTGGGGAGCGCCTCCTCATCTAACTCGCTATATTTGAAGTAGCGGTGAGTGTAGTCCTGGTCCGAGAAGATAAAGGTACGCAATCTCCCATATACTACATTATCAAAACTTTAGTCGACACCGAGACGAGGTACCCCCACCTAGAAAAATTGGCCCGGGCCTTGGTTGTAGCTTCACAAAAGTTTAGACCCTACTTCCAGTGCCACCCCATCTCGGTAGTCACGACTTTTCCCTTAAGAAGTATTTTACATAAGCCCGAGCTATCGGGCAGGTTAACCAAATGGGCCATAGAATCAAGTGAGGATGATATAACGTATCAACTGCGAGCGGCGATAAAGTCACAAGTACTTGGACTTCAGCGCAAAAATACCTGAAGTTGAAAGAGAAGCTGCCCACGCTTCTCCAAAAATACAAGATCTATGGATTTTTTACACCGACGGCGCTTCTCGCTCAGGGTCCGGATTGAGACTTGTACTCGAAGTCTCGACAGGCGAAGTAAAAAGTAATTCGGCAGTCCGTAAGGTGCCTGGACATGACTAACAATGAGGTCGTGATTGCAGGACTAAGGTTAGCACTTAAGTACGGGGCAAGACGGGTCATACTACACTGCGACTCTCACCTCGTCATCAACCAAGTCATAGGGACTTTCCAGGTAAAAGAGCCAAGGTTACAAAAATATCAGGCCTAGATCAGTAAATTGCTGCCCGAGTTTGATGAATGTGAGCTCGATCAGATTCCTTAAGCACAAAACATCGAAGCAGACGACCTCGCCAAATTAGCAACAACCACCAAAAGCATAACCGGAGATGGAAATGTGGTCACTCTCCTCCACTCATCGATAGATCAAATCGAGGTAAGGACCATAAATTTAACTTGGGACTAGCGCAACCATATTGTTAACTACTTGTAGGGTGGCGAACTCTTAGATGATAAAAAAGAAGCCAAGAAACTTCAGATGCAAGCAGCCAGGTACAATATCATTCATAGTGACCTATACAAAAGGATATATGGCGGTCCCCTGGCAAAATGCCTAGGCCCGAACCAGACACGGCGCATCCTCGAAGAAGTCCACGAGGGCCACTACGGAGCTCATTCCGACAACCGAACTCTAGTCAGATGTCTCATACGGGCAGCTTACTACTGGCCCACCATGATAAAAGAGGCCGCTGACTTCGTGAAAAAATGTGAGAAATGCCAAAAAGATACTCCCCAATGATCTACCTAGCGGGTGAGCACCTCCACTCAGTCACTTCCCCTTGGTCGTTCATCAAATGAGGGATGGACATCATCGGCTCTCTCCCCGCGGGGCGAGGTAACGTATGATTTCTTTTGGTTTTAACTGGCTATTTTTCTAAATGGGTGGAAGCATGAACATTTGCCCAGATACGCGAATATGAAGTAATCGCCTTTATATGGAAAAACATCGTGTGCCACTTCAGCCTCCCCAAAGAGGTCAACTGCGACAACAGACCCTAATTCACAGAAAAGAGATCACCGAGTTCTTTGAGAAGTGGCATATCAAAAGAATATTCTCAACACCGCATCACCCCGCAGGAAACGGGCATGCAGAATCCTCCAATAAATCAATACTGAAAATCATGAAGAAAAAGCTTGAGGATGCCAAGGGACTATGGCCGGACTTACTACCAGAAGTGCTTTGGGCCTACCGAACAACGCCAAAGACAAGCACGGGAGAGACGCCCTACTCATTAGTCTATGAGACCGATGCGGTAACACCAGTAGAAGTAGGAGAGTCCAGTTTGAGATATTCCCATGAGAGCGGGCCGAGGAACGATGAAAGCAGAAGGCAACAGCTCGAGGAAGTTGAGGAATGGAAAGATATGGCCTACATAAGGATGATCGCCCAAAAGCAACAGGCAAAATGCTATTATAACAAAAAGGCAAAAGTCAGACCACTCAAAGTCGAGGACTAGGTGCTCAAAGCCAAAACACAAGCAAGCAAAGACCCGTGGGAAGGCAAACTGGGAAAAAATTGGGACGGCCCATACAAAGGCACGGCAGCGACAAACAAAGGGTCATTCCAACTAGAAATAATGGAAGGAAAATTACTACCAAACAACTGGAACGTCGCCCACCCTAAGTACTTCAACTTTTAAGGAAAAGTGTTCTCTGAGTCGTACTCTTTTTCCCTTACTTGAGTTTTATCCCAATTGGGTTTTCTCAAAAAGGTTTTAACGAGGCGAATAGGGGGACACTTCAAGTTGAAGTGCAAATGGAAGGGCACTGGATGATCAGTTTATTGCCCAACCTCTCAACACTTCTCCAGGTCGCCCAATGAAGGGACTAGATAGATAGATATGGGACCGGAATGCCAGCCCTGAAAACATGTAAATTTCTACAAGTATATGATAAAAACGCAAATGTATGAAGTTTGCCCATACTTTCAAGAGAGCAACATTGCCTCAATACCTAATCGGCGCCCGACCATAACAAAACAAAAGTGACATTCGACCTCTTCGAATTAACTGTGACACTCGACCTCGTTCGAATTAACTAACATTCGACCTCGCTCGAATTAACTAAGCGACATTCGACCTCGCTTAAATTAACTAAGCGATATTTGACCTCGCTCGAATTAACTAAGTGACATTCTACCTCGTTCTAATTAACTATGACCTTCGACCATGTTCGAATTAACTAACATTCGACCTCGCTCGAATTAACTAAGTGACATTCAACCTCGCTCGAATTAACTAAGTGATATTCGACCTCGTTCGAATTAACTGTGACATTCGACCTCATTCAAATTAACTAACATTCGAACTTTCTCAAATTAACTAAGTGACACTCGACATCGCTCGAATTAACTAAGTGACATTCAACCTCGTTCGAATTAACTGTGACATTCGACCTTGTTCGAATTAACTAACATTCGACCTTGCTCGAATTAACTAAGCGACATTCGACCTCTATCAAATTAACTAAGTGACATTCGACCTCGATCGAATTAACTAAGTGACATTCGACCTCGCTCGAATTAATTGTAACATTCGACCTCACTCGAATTAACTAAATGACCTTCGAACTCGCTCAAAAAAATAAATAAATTTACATTCGACCTCGTTCGAATTAACTGTGACATTCGACCTCGTTCGAATTAACTGACATTCAACCTTGTTCGAATTAACTCACATTCGACCTCGTTCGAGTTAACTGATATTCGACCTCGCTCGAACTAAATCACATTCGACCTCGCTCGAATCAACCCACATTCGACCTCGTTATAATTAACTAAGTTATGTTCGACCTCGCTTTGAACTAACTTAGTACATATTACATTCGACCTCGTTCGAATTAACACCTATTGGTCCCCGACCAAGACCAAAACTAAATTCTGTTTTGACCTCGTTCAACACACATAAACCAAGCTTCTATGACTAAAGCGGCTAAACGGCAAACAAAAGAAAGAAGCATACAAGCCCGAACAGAAGGACAAGGATCAACTACAAATAACGAAAATAGCATTTCATATGCAAACTATGCTCTTTACAAAGGTTAGAACAGAAGCCTGCAAAAATATATACAAAGTCTACAAGCAAAAAGGAAGTCGAGTGATGAAATTTGATATACATTATACATGAGTCCCAAGGGAAAAACTGCAGATGGATGAGTCTCTTTTTACACGAGAGAAGAAATTTGAATTCAAAAACAAATTTATGACTTCATTGATGAAAACAAACTGGAATTATTCTACTTATCAATTGGCGCCATTATCATTGGCATATGGTCAATTGAACGGAAAAAAATGGATGGGTAACAATGGTTTAGTTGGAAAGCCATTTGAAAAGAAAATTAAATTCGTAATGATTTTTTTTCGTTTTGGAGATTAAATCTTCGTGATTTTCTACTCCTGCTTTGAGATTAAAATTTACGTGAATTTTAACTCATACATCAAGATGAAAGTCTTAGTGACTTTTTACACATTTGTCGGGGATTAAAGTCTAAGTGACTTTCTACTCATTTTGGAGACTAAAATCATACTCTAGTTTATAACTTGGTTTGAAGATTAAAAACTTCATCGTTTATTAAATCTAGCTGTGTCATATATTATTCAGTTTGAAGATTAAAATCTTCACGTTTATTAATTCTGGTTGTGTTATATATTACTCGGTTTGAAGATTAACAACTTTACCATTTATTAATTTTGGTTGTCAAATCGGTTTGAAGATTAAAAACTTTACCGTTTATTAACTCTGATCGTCAACTCGGTCTGAAGATTAAAAACTTCACCATTTATTAATTCTGGCTGTATTGTAACACAAACAACGATTCTTGTGGTAGGGGGAACTAATATGAATCTCTTTTTGAAGAAATGTGTAATTTATGTATGGCATTATACATGAAACAACAATCCCTTACTCGCAATTCAATGGAATTGCGGAAAGAAAAATATAACATTAAAGGAGCTGATGAATGCTATTTTGATAAGTTCTGGTATAATTTAATCCAGAACTTTAGGGGAGGCTATTCTTATAGCTAACTGAATACTCAATCGAGTTCCCCATAGGAAAATGCAATCCATTCTATATGAAAAATGGAAAGGAAGGAAACCCAACTTAGATATTTTTAAAGTGTGGGAGTGCTTGAGTGCAAGTTCCTAATCCCAAAAGGGTAAAGATTGGATCGAAAATCGTTGATTGTGTTTTCATAAGATAAGCAAGAAATAGTAAGGCATATCATTTTCTGGTTCATAAATCAGAAAATCCCGACATTCATATTAATACGGTAATCGAATCATACTTATCTGCATAAAAATGAGTGCATGTCGTCTAGTAAAAAATCTAAGCGCCCTTGAGAAGAAGCAAAGGAAAATACATTTAATGAGGAAAATCTAAGACGTGGTAAATGTCAAAGGACAACTACTTCCTTTGGGGATAGATTTTCTAACATTATTGTTGGAAAATGAACCTCAAACGTATAAAGAAGTTATTTCTTTTTTTTGAAGAAAAAAAAGGCAGTTAATGGTAAGATAGAATCAATATTATAACCATACTTGGGAGTTAGTTGATCTTACTCTAGAGAATAAATGGTTGGATTCAAAATGAATTTTCAAGAGAAAAATAAAGGATGATGACACTATTGACATGTATAAGTCAAGAATTGTTGTCAAAGAGTGTAGACAACAGAAGTCATTGACTATTTTGACATATACTCTTCAACTATGAGTATTACGTACTTATGAATGTTAGTAGCATTGGCTATGGTATACGATCTTGAAATTTATCAAATGGATGTAAAGACACCCTTTTTAAATTGTTATGTGGAAGAAGAAATCCTCGTAGAACAACCTAGGGTTCGTCGTTCCTGAAAAAGAAAAGAAGGTGTGATGTGTTAAGTCTTTATGAACTAAAATAAGCACACAAACAATGACATGCGAAATTTGATCAAATAATATTGTCAAATAATTTCAACACTAATGAGTGTAAACAAATATATTTACATTAAGAATACTCTAAATTATGTAGTCATTTTTTGAAATAATAGAAAAGGCACATGAAATATTTAAAATGCGAGGCTTTAGCTTATGCGTGACAAAAACCAATGTTAGACGCAATGTCTATATTATTTAGAAGAACTTTAATATGGTAGTTAATAAATTCATTACTTGTTCAATATTAGTGATGCCTAGTTGATGAAACTACCAATTCGAAGTAGTTCACGTGTCTTTCTAGAAAGGATGTATTCATTATTGAACATTTATGAAAGGGAGTCACCTGGAAGGTTGTGAATTTTCATGGAAAGATATGTCTGTACATTTTTGTATTGACATGACCGTTCATGAACGGATATATTAATAAGTTGGTCTATAATATGGTGAACCAGACAATGAAAATTTGCTTCATGAATGAAGGTGTTATAATTTGCATATCGTTTAAACGTGTATTTTATTTGTGGAATATGAATAAATAGCATACAAAATATAGTAAAAAGCGGAGTGGTTGCAAAAGGTATTATATATTAAAAGGTTGTGGCCACAACTGAGATCAACCGTTCCAGCTGTTGTTCTAATATAATGTTAACAACAACAACAAACCCAGTATGATCCCAACATGTGGGGGTCTGGGGAGGGTAGTCTGTACCTAGACCTTACCCCTACCTAATGCAGGTAGAGAGGCTATCTCCAATAGACCCTCGGCTCAGGAAGGGTGAGAAGAAGAAGAGGAAAGCAAGGAAGAAATAAAGAAGGAGGAGAAAAGAAAAAGAAAAAGGGAGAGATAAAAGATAAGTAGTACCAAATAATAGCAACAGAGAATACAATACCTGAGGCGAACAAAACCACATAACGTAATAAAAATCTAAGAATATGAAGGGACATGCATGCTACTAAGACTATCGGTGAACAACTAAAAACTACCCGCTAACCTTCTACCTTAATCCTCGACCTCCATACCCTCCTATCAAGGGTCATGTCCTCAGTGAGCTGAAGCAGCACCATGTCCTGTCTAATCACCACTCCCCAATACTTCTTAGGCCTACCTCGACCTCTTCTCAAAGAACTCTCCATGGACAACCTCTCACACCTCCTGACAGGAGCATTAATGCTTCTTCTCTTAACATATCCGAACCATCCCAGCCTCGACTCCCCCATCTTGTTGTCACGACCCGGATTTTCCACCCTCGGGAGTCGTGATAGCGCCTACTAGTAGGAGCTAGGCAAGCCAAATTAATTCACTTCTTTTAGCAATTATCGATCATTTCATAAAATCAAAATGTAATATGATAAAGCAGAAGTCTCAATATATAACTAACTGAAAGAAAATGCGGAAGTTTAACAGAATCCTCTACCCAAGAACTAGAGTCACGAACTCACGAACGTCTAGAGAATACTAAATACAACGTCTGAATAAAAACATAATTCTGTTTGTTCTGGTACAAAGGATAACAAACTAAAGTAAAATAGAAGAGACTCCGG